CATATTATTCTGATAAAATTGACCTAAAAAAATGCGAATAACTCGAACTTACATGTTTCAAATATTTATTCTTTATTGCGAATATTGATCAATGTGTTCTGTGTAAACAAAACGGTTGAAATGGAGAAAAATAGCAACTTACTTTTAAAAATGACCTTTTCTACTTAAGATTCGCGTTAAAATCTGATCTGAGTAAAAATATTACGAAGCATACCGGAAATGTTTCATTTGCCCAAAATTTAGTCATCCTGAGATTCGTGAAAATTGCTTCATCTCGATTGCTCCATTTAAAAAATAATAAAATTCGAATGCGCTCTATGTCTGATTCACTATAACAACTCGAGAAAAACTAATTTGAATAAATGTGAATTATTAATAGCAAACATTCAGAAAAACGCGAAATATCACAATGTTAATTATTGCTGTAACGATGAACTTAATATTTTCTTTTCATAATATTACACAATCCTAATAAGAAACGAACGTACTTTTTTTTGAATATCAACATTAATATTAAATTTTAATAAAATACCTATTTAGCAATATTTAACATAAATATCGATATTAATTATTTTCAGAATAACTGTCTGTACATCTTCAGGACAGATTAAAACACTACTTAGCGTTAAATACTTAGTAAAATACACAGTGTTAGTATTTTATATAAAAGATAAAATGTAAAGAGAAACGGTGAAACGATTTTACACATTGAAACAACTGTATGATAAAAATCGTGTGCTGTAGAGAATTAATCCCATTTAGAAGGTACAATACTCTTACCTCCAGATAATCTATTCGGATCAGGACCGGGTATACCACCACGAAATGGGTGTCCGTACTGTTGTTGTTCCTTAAGTAAATTCTGCTCACGTTTCTGCTGCCTTTTGTATAAATACACTCGGTACCTCTTCATTAATCTTCTCTTTCCCCTTCGCCACAGGTGTGCAATATATCTGAGGACATATACGGTGGAATTGCATGAAAATGAAACCGGCGAAAGGCAACTTTAAGTGGTGATCTTTAATTTTTCAAGTGAGATAGCACTTTGTATTCACGTTTAACTTTTCATTTCATCGTGTTACGTTACGATATATGTTACAAAAGTACTTTTAGTATCCGTGAATTTCTTTCGAAGAAATCTCACAGAAATGTTCAATTAAATCTGAAATTGTCGAGTAAAATTTATTTTGCTACGATCAAATTGAATTGAACTGAATGGAATTGAAAATGAAGAGAAGGAAAGGGAAACTTGAAGAATTGAAACTAGAATAAATCGAAGAATTAATAAATAAATTTCCACAGAATTTCGCGTTGCTAATGTTATCAGATTATGGTTATCGATGAAATACGAATTCCTATTTCGACCAACTTTTCACCTTGAAATTTTCCTCCCTCGAAGTTTACACAGAAGGGGGAAACGAAGTTAATACACTTTTCCGCGAAGTTCCTTTTAATACTCACTTAACAATTTCTGCGTAACATGTAGTTGGCTCTGAAGTATTCGTCGACGATGCAAGGGTTGATGTGGAATGAAAACGTGCACGCTCCAGTCGCATTCTTTCCATTTCCCGTTTTTTCGTCTCGGAGAATTGCGTTGCTATTACGACTAAGCAGAGATTAATCATGAAGAAGGAACCAATCTGCAATCGAAATTGTACAAATTCAACGGTTTTTTATTCATTTCACGTTGAACAAACGATTCTCCTTTCGTAATCACACGTGCAATACCTAAATCCATTGAAAAGAAAGGAAATTCATCTATCGAAGAAAATCACCTGATTTTCCTCTATTTACTTCTATTTATTTGCAAATAATTATATACACTACCGCTCGTAATTCAATTCATTTCAATTTATTCCATTCAACCCGACGAAATTCCAATTCCGTTTGTCAAATTCGAAGTTTCACGTCGAACACGACAGAATGAAGTTTATCATTCTCGTCTAATTCGTTCTTTTTTCCTACAGTTAGTGCCGCAGTTTTACCGCATTTTTACGGACACGATTAAAAACTATCGAGCGATAGCGTACACCTTGAAAAAAATGCCACAAAATTTCGACGAATTTTGCTATCACCTGGTATCAACGAATGTTCAACCTTTTTAAACTTTCAATACGTTGACACAGTGGGTGATGAAATTATTAGAGCCACCTGTAAGAAATTGACGGTTTCACATTATAGCGATTAATTTTCAGACGGAAACCTAGTTACACTGAATTCTTATTACTGTTTTTACGAAGCGTTGATGTTTACAAATTGCAAATATACACTTGGCAACAGTTTAGACAATATTATCTGTCGCGTGGACGTTATTTCGTATCAATATGCAAATCGCCACTTGAGCACCACGTGTTACAGTTCTCTTGCTTCATAGATCTTGAGAATTTGAATATTTGTCGCATTTTACTACTTATAATGGTAAATTACTTAAAAAAGTATGGAAAAAAAGAAGGAAGGCTGTAATTGCAGTAAAAGGTAGCACTTACTGAAAACCTACCTTTATTGTTACTTCTTAACTGTATTTTTCATAGCTACACAAGCCAAGTTTAACTTTCTACGTGAATATTTAGCGGACCAATTGAAACTTAAAAATTCAAAATATTTCAAAAAATTCGAATCGATCAAAAGTTACTCAGAGTAAAAATCTGGATATTGGTCATTTGGTTTCTACACAAAAACGAAAGCACAATTTTCGTATTGCGGCTCTAATAATTCGATCACCCGCCGCAAAAGAAACGAAAAATTTACACGCAGATATGAACGTACCACAATTAAAAGGACGAAGTATATCCAATCCCAAAAAGAATGAGCATCCTGCACGTAATACATTATGTCCGTCCATCCTTCAAGACTGATCACCTATGACAATGCAATTATTTCACTAACTCTATCTGAAAATTCCACCAAGCGTTGCAGCGGACAAGAATTTTTCTATCTTTTTTTCTTCTCGACCGACAAAAGTGCTCGTCGAGAATTCGATATTCATCAATTTCTGATAAACAGAGAAATTGGACTGTTGTGAAGTTTCAATTAACGTAGGCGTGAGGAAAAATATGTGGCACTCACGAGAAATATTGCGACCCAGGCAAGACCGATATTATCGAACGATATAGTCCCTTGGAAAGGATTGTTACCCTGACCCTTGCACTCCGTGTAGTAGTAATTCCAATTAACACAGGTGTCGTTGGTGATAAACGTTGCATTATTGTTCGGCAACGCGGTGCTATTGCAAATCACGTTCCCTAAAAGCGAGAACACTTGAATAGCATCTGCGTAATGTCGTTTCTCGCGCACTATCGATGAGAAACGTCTACGAACTCGACATTTCACTCGGTATCTTTAATCTTATTCGGATATCATGCGCGTACAGTTCATAATCGTTTAATTATATTTCAGCGTTAATTGATTCTCTTAATTAATTCTGATTCGCGATCATATTGACTGCTTAAACGAGAGAAAATTGGTGGTTTGGAGATATTTCGAAAGTTCTTCCTTCAATTGTGCTTCTTAATATTTCTCCGATGGTATCGCTGTGATGTCGGTCAGAATTTAGCGTATACTTACGAGAGCAGGAGAAGAAATTTATTTGAAATTCGTTTACTTGTGATGAGATAAAAATATTGAACTTTCCACGTTGAAATTTTCGTCGAAATCGAGTATGATTGATATATTCGTGTTTTAAGAATTCTGTCGTTAGTGGACTGATCGAAATTTTCTTTCTGTCGCGTAAGAGACCCTCGAGATGATTATAATACACTTTTTCGATAAATTTTCTTATTAAGTAAATTTCATGTTTAATTTCAACTTTGGGGTCAAAGGTCACTTTAAGCTCGTTTAATTACACATCTCTGAACGCGTGTCAACGACAAACCGCAGTATGCAAGAGAAAAAAATACGCGTTTATATGCAAAAAAAAAGAAATAAAATCGATGCCTTTGAAAACTCCAAAAAAAAAAAAAATGACCTTGAGATAAAAATATTCTCTGCAGCCTATACGTTCTTTGATACCAAGCATAAATTGCATCTAAAATATTGCTTGTAACTATTTGGGTAACTCTTTTTAAGCAGGACACCCTGTGTATCCAGCTTCTACGATAGTTTATAATCGTTAAACTTCCCACAGAAAAGCGGTGACTTTCGACATCGATTTCGACAAAAATATTCACAACGTTCCCTCGTTTGCAACGATCGCGCGATATAGTTTTTTTTCTCTCCCCGAGGTTTCGCACCGGTAAGAAGCAATATCGACGAGATCGCGGGCGCGTCGCGATCGGGGACGAATAGAAAAAAAAAAAAGTTCACACGAGCGAGAAGAACACCGAAGGGCTGCACTTACCGAACTTGAGCGGCGGTAAGTTACTGCAAGAGTGCATTCCGTTGTCGTCGGGACGCGAGCAAATGTAGTCCTGACCCTGATATTCAAAGTACTTCTCAAGGTCGCTGAAAAAGCAATGGACCGCGATTAATATCGATTTAAAATACAAGTACGCGGCCTTACGCCTCGTATCTTTTAATTAAGGAGCTGCATATATACATCTGTAAGTGCAACTTCTTAATTAAAATGCCTTATGCCACGGATGCATTCATTGCATGCATCGCTTATATGCGTGTACACCGTGTATTTGCAGTGTGTTCCACACG